TGTTCTCTGGTTTCGGGTTATCTTCGTGGATTCTTTTAATTTTGGATAAAAGATATAGGACATACAAGTCCAGAATGAGACGTTCATCTACCACATTTCATAAAACAGCACGTTCTTCCCGCTAAGCTCTTGTATTAATCGTTACCGTCATTTCATTTCTTCGTTTTGTATGTCAGCATTTTCAGTATAAGTAAATTATATCACAGGAATATATCCATCTGTAATATTTTTATCATAAACGTGAATATGAAACTCAAATCTTACGAAATAAAACTGCAGCCCATTGATAAAGAAATCTTATATTTCTTAAACTTAATTGCTAACTAAGTAAAATCTTATATAACTAAACAATAAATATGTATAAACTTTAATATAACTTTCAGTATCACACAGAATGATTCTAAATGCAAAATCACGCTGAACTTGGGTTACCCTGACGCTTGAATACGAAGTATACGATGCTTTAGCACCGCAAATCTGACAGTGTTAAAAACGGAAGAACGCGCCAAACGGAAATCTTATGTACGCTTATGACGCAAGCTCCCAGATGAACTTGGAGAATATTTCTTTGTTCTTTCCCAATATAGGAAAGCTACTGTATATCTGTAACGAGAATGTCTCAGTTGATCAATTGAAAGCATTCGTATACTAAATCAAATGTATGAATTTGTAGAAAAACATACACAGTTCATTTTAAACAGCAAACAAGAATTGAAGATGATTAAAAAACAAATGAAGTTTACATGTATAAACCAAAAATTGAAATTAAATCCAAGAATGAAACAATATCAACACTTAATCGGTGTAGTCTCAAATAGTCGTATGCATGAAAACTTCATTTTTATTTCAACATCTAACCCATATTTTTACTATTTTACAATATTTAATTTATAAATTGTCAGATATGTTTTTAAAACAATTTCTATATTTATTCCAGCGCTCTAATACCGTACTAAAGTGTATATTTAATACAGTGGTTAAGGAGTGACTCTTACACTAATGAGAAACCCCCAAGTGCAGTTAATTAGCACTTTTCTTGAATTTCCCCATCATCGGTTTCATTGAAAAACTATACAAATGAGATACCTTTATTCGTTATTTACATTAGATGCTATTTGAATTTCAATATTTTAGGTTCAAAGCTGACAATTCTATAAAATCTTGCAATACACTGAAAATAGAAAGTAAAATAATCATTTGATCAAACCTTACGTTTATAATTTATATACCTATATATTTGCAAATTTCAAGGTTTCGTGTCAAACTGCAATTATATATAGATTGCAGTCTTTCATCATGAGTTTCAAGGAATATTTAAACTTTCATTACGTGCTACGAGAATTTTTCAGGTTCGAACGCTATTACCAGTCTGCTAAATATAGATTATAATATAATAAAATTATGAAATATGGTAACGTTGTTTAATAAGCCATCATTTTTTCAGAAAATAAACCAAGTAGGAAAGCTTAAAAATATCGATTATACAATTATCAATAGCAGCTGATATTAAAATACTTTATACAGCGCAAGTGTTTAAGCATGTATTTAAAACTCATTACCCAAAGAAAAAGGAGTCCGTATTTTTCATCCAATAATTATTACAAAATGCATTCTCATAAAGCGCTTCGAAAAGATTAATAAAAACATCCCTTTCTTCATTACGTGAATTACGTTTGATACATGACAGATGTTTGCGACCAGAAAAGCCGCCATACGGTGCGATAAAGATAAAAGGTCATTAAAACTTACTTCACGGCATTTTGAAAGTGCATTTCATTCAAAAAGTAATTTACGTATAATTTTACAGTTCAGTTCATTCTAGACAAATATTCTAAATGGAAATTCGAATTAACATATTTCGCATTCACAGTAAAATTTATTAAATGTGCAAGAAATTCGGAAAATGATAGATGTGTATACTTCAATAAAATTCAGATGTATTTAACGATAAAATTTAAACAAAAAGTCCTGATTTACTTCACATTTTCAGTTCCCAAGTGAATTTTAAATAAAAATGCAGAGCTACATATAAATATAGAAAATGATATTCCAAGCTGATTTTAAAATTTCCTCAGAATATTAAATGGACTTATGAATAAATTTTTTCATGATATTCCATTTTCGTCACGCACTCTTAAAAAGGTATATTTTGCGTTAGTTACAACTTTGTGTTGTGTTAACAAGGAAATTTGAAATGTACCTGGCAATGTTTACTGTATTTTAAAATATGTTGCGTTAAATTTCTAAAACGTGCCAATAAAGCTAGGAAGAAATATCACACTAAAATAATTAGCAATAATCTAAACAGACAGAATTTTATCATAAAAGTGAAAGTTTACAGTATAATGAAGTCAAACGTTTTAAAATTATGAAATTAGGAAAGTACATATAAACTGCATTTCACCTAAGCTTCAGATCAAAGGATATTTAGAAATAAAACGCAACAGAAATATTTAATATAAAGAATTTAGAAAGATCATCAGCAAAGAATTTTTTCAAAGTTATAACCAGTTTCAGTTTCAATTTAAATTATTTGTTAGGTTTAGAAATTTTAGTAATAAAAGGAGCTTTTTATAATATAAATATTTCGAGGTTTAGAGAACGCTGAAAATTATTTCAGAGCTAGACTAGAAATCTCCCAATAAACAAGAATGTCATGAATTTCTTCAAAATCGCCCTAATGCGCTGATGAAAGCTCAATGCACTTGCACAGAAATCTTTTAGGAATTACCAAGCAACAGACTTCGTATTTAACTATTAAAGGAAACTAATGCAGAAAACCAACTTAATGTCAGACTACAAACACAAAAGTTATTTGCAGTTAGAAAAGTGATTAGCAAATAATTGCACATTTTTTAAGTAATGAAAATAGTTCCAAAATTCCTATAAAGTACTGTAAAAAATTATCTTTGGCTCTTGAATCATGGGTTCGCTGAAGTTCAAACCACGAAAATTCTCATAACTATTAAATTTATTTTAAGCCAATTTTAGTTTTCGGTAAATCGCATAATATCAATCACAATTAAATCAAAAATTCAATTACACAGGGTGCTAGTCTAGTATTTTCAATCTGGATTTCAACTGGCAGCTCCTATGGATTTAATACCGATGTCTGATACCGCTTTAGTGTTATCACCAGCATTTTGAAATATGAACGTAAGAAACTGAATAGCAGTTAAACTTGCATCGAAATGAGGCCGCATTACTGTGAATTATCCTTTATATTAACACTTCTTTGCAAGCATGAGTTGCATATGTCTTAATTTCCTAGTTATGAGTTAATTGCGCATATTTACTATACATTTATTTAAGATACACTTGTAAAAATTTTCAAAAATTATCGTAGGTAGCAATGTGGTCTCTTAACACATTAAATTCACGTTTCGCCTACAGAAATTTATTTTACAAGTTGAGTACATGAATAAGTATCAATAAAATATGTAAGCACACACTGCGATATTCAATTAAAGTACCTGCGCCTAGAATGTGGCACTGAATTATTATGCCTTAAACTTAAATGCAGATTTGAAACAAGGAAAATCTAGGACTTGAGTTGAAACAGTATGGAAAATTATTCAAAATGCACTTTTGATAGAAATGTAACGCAAAGACCCTGAAATTTCTAAAAAAAACCAAATTTGAACACAATTGGAAATTAGTTACTGCTGAGTAGCATAAATTACTAGCTAATAAGTTAAAAGAAAGTGCTTCAGACAGTTATGATGAACATGGAATTTTAAAGAGCCCTTTAAGCGTGAAGTTGGTTTCTTAACAAAAAGATCTGCGCCGCAGTGAAATCAACTTTGAAAACAAGACGCAACTGGAGAGTGAAAGGAAAGATTAGCTTACCTTTTTGTTGTAACTGCTTCACCTTGAAACTCTGTTTCACTTCCGACGTGAAAGTTGGAATTTTTAAAAATATAAAGATAACGTTGAAAAACGTTCTCACAAAGTTATGTATAAGGTATTGTATAAATGCTACAGTAGCGCTAGCGAGCTCAGCTTTGGCAAGCAATAATGGCAAAATAAAATATTAAAATGCTCAAAAAGTAGTCGTCAAAAAATTTAACTTGACTGCCTTTTCCCTACTAATGCATAAACGGATACTCAAACCAATTCTACGGTTTGAAAATAAAATACTCTACTTCCTCCGTTGACAAGTAGATATACTGAAATAATTGTCCAAAGTTCTTTTAAAAGTTTCTCATGAGGAAGAAAAACAGCTAACTATCATTTATAATTTCTATTAAATAGTTAGAAGATGAAGTCGTAAACATGAAAAAACGGTTTCCAAAAAATCAGAATGAATGAAAAAAACAACGAAATTGCTGCCGAAGTCGCTACTATCAAACACAACACAACTGCCTTCTGGCCCAGTCAGGAACTAAATGTCAGGCAGCGGCAGCGCACAGCGCGATAAATGTCGACCGAAGCGCGCCTCATTATGTTCATCTACCTCCGCGTTTCTCATCACTGCTCTGACTCCTCCCACTTTGAGTTTCAGCCGCACATTAATTGCAACGACAAAATTATCCACGTCTTCCAAACAAACAACTGCTTTGCTAAAATAAATTTTGGAGCAATTCTGTCACTATTAAAAATATATAAATGTCGTTCCTGAACCAAATTGCGGTGCTTTGAAAGAGTTCTTGCCAGCGGATGGTTACACTGGCGCGAGAGGTAAAAGCCCGCCTTACGGGCAGCAAACGATTTGTGGAAGCATTTTTAGTGGTCAAGCAAACGTCAGAAATGCAAATTTGTTTCCACAGTTGTCAAATATTCTGTTACTTTATATCACTAAGTTCGCTATGAATATCTCTAAATGTATTCCTATCACAGATAGCCGAATATCGATAACATAGCTAGTTTCTGTTTTAATTTCGTCTTGTAATTCTGACGAATATATTGATTAGACTGTTTGCTTTCTTCATGACACTAGGTGTCACTAGTGTTCTCTAGCAACACAGAAAACGTTCGTTTCCAAAACAACCCGTTATAAAACGAGGCTTAATGCGTTTATTTTACCGTTAAAAATTAAATCTTTTATTGATCTTCTGCCAGTTATATATTTACAAGTAAACAATATTCCATGTGGCTTGTTTGTTAGTGCGTTGCTATTGCAGCGACATATGTTAATGTTTATCGATGCGAGAATTTCTCATCGTCTTCGAAGCATTCAGTGAACAACATGGGAGATTTTGAATCAGGTTAGTTCTGCGAATGCGTTCTAGAAAATCAAAACTTGTTCTTAAATGTCAGTTAATGTATTTTTTGTCATGTATATATGAATTCAACTGTTGCAGCACTCTTACTGTTGTTGCCCTTGTATTTAAACATTTCTGTGTATTGTGCGCATGCGATACAAGGGGTGAGAAGGGGAGTAGGTGGGACTCGAATTTCGTGGGGTGGCAAATTTATTCAGCGCAAAGTGGATAGTAAGATTTAAATTTGTTTGTGCTTGTATTTCTTCTTAATTTGACTGGCGTAATGATATAAAACTTCAGTTCAGTAATATCTGAATTTTTAATACAAGTAGGATAATTTAGTAGATAAATAAAATCTACTAAATTAAAATTTTGATTTTGGCTGAAAATGTTGAAGTACGCCAGATAAATTCGAAAACCACAAGCGTAGAATTAAATATGCTAATATGACATGAATGCATGGAATTTTGGGTAATCAATTTACTTACTCTCTGCTAAGTTTAAAACAATTACTGATTTAATAAAAATGATACGTTAATCACATAAATCTCGCTTAAAATTATGTTGCCATAGTCGCTCCATTAAACGTAGAAATTGGATACAAAGCACTTATTACATTATACATCACATCTAATGCTGTCTCATTATACTTCATCTCTTATTATATTTCGTCATATTATAATTTTATATTATTATATTGTCCAAGAGACTAAAATTCACATAACTGATATGTTAGAATAATTAAATGTAATTTCTATTTGCAGTAAGAAATATTAAGTTAAAAATATTAGCTGAGGGATATTTTACAGTAGGTAAAAGAGGGAAATACTCCTAGTAATTTCTAAAATGAGGAATGGGTTAAAATCCATATAGTAGACTATCTCTGAGAAATGTAATGATGAATTTTTATGAGTCTAGAAAGTACAATTAAATAATAAAATACTAATATGTAATTTAAATTTCGGCTTTATGCCTAGATTTTTCGAAAATATTCAAAGTGACATTTTGTGCTTGTAAATGCAATTAATCTAATATTCATTTACATATACTGCGTGTTTACTATAAAATCTTTTCTCGGAAATAATATTTTTCATAAAATGTTTGAATATGTGAAGAAAGTAATTGTAATTATACTTCATGCGATGGATACATGCAAATCGTAAAAAGAGCTCAATAATCCGCATAAGTGGTTTCGAGTTCTTTGCATACATACTCGTATGTTCTTAATAATTGCTGACCTCAAAATTCAAAAGATGGTATAAAGTTTACACATAATTTTAGTTTTTAGAAAATATATAACTTTAAAGTTAAATAATATCGGGTAGATATTCTTCTCGCTACAGAATTATTTTCCTGTTTGCATTACTGCATTTAACGAATTTCAACACCAGAATAAACAATCTGTTGAAATGGGGGATTTCAAGCATGCAAAAGCTATCACACTACAGAATTATCAAGCATACATATCGTAGATAATTCTAATGTGCTTAGAAGTATTAATTATAAAATATTAATTTTACTCATTAGTTTTAAAAACTGGAGTTTGTTTTATAATTTATCTAAAAGAACTTTTAAGTACTTAAATTATTAATAAACATGGAGAACAACAAGAATCATAGACCTCATTTTGGCATTCATAATATCCATCTTTTTGTGATCAATGGGAATTTTCTTTCACTCTAAATCCCCACAATATTGAAAACCATTTATTTAGAACCTTATTTCTGGATTACTGACAAGATATTTATGCAACTGAAATTTTAAAAATGATTTTTCTCCATTAAGTGTCAATCAAGGACAAAAAGAACACATCTGAAAACATACTTTGAATAATTGTTTTCAGATTCCCAATATACATATTATTTCCTCCTAATACTTTCCCATTCCATTTCATCAATGTATCCGCTATGCATATAGCTACAAAACGTTTAATTATGTAGAAAGATTCGATTAAGAGGTGGACGGTATTATAAAAGAAATTTGAATTTTAAAACCTGTATTGTAGAATTTATTTGTTTTATATAAAAGGATAAGTAAAATAAATCAAAAATAACTTCTTTCTCAATAACTCAGGGAAGGGAATTCACATGTATAATGAAATAAAGAGATATATTCACATGGAATTTTCTTACCAATACATTATTGATTAATCGTGACTCACGGATACATGTTTAACCACTTATGATTCATCAGTATCTCTTTTGAAGAGTTTCAAAATGAAACGGAAATCCTTACCTATTTTGTTCAACACAGGGAATTAAATACAGAAATATTCACTTTAAAAAGTAAATATTCGTTTAAAACATTTAAATATAATAATGCTGAAAAATAAATATTCACTTAAAACGTATAAATATAATAATGTATATGTAATAATAATGATTAAATAGAAATATAAAATCATTTATTTTCTAAGTATAATGAAATATACACTTTAACATGTTTAGGTATAAAGCTTTGCATAAAAATTTTCTCGACCGATTTTCTTTCTTCTTTTAAGTTCCCTGATACTTTAGTTTTAAGATGTGCGAGTAGAAAAAAGTCATAAAAAAGTTTATTTTTCCATTGATCATTCGTGTGCGTATTTAAAGTTCGGCATTCAGTTCAAATAGTATGCTTCCGTAATGGCTTGCCTTTGTAATTATTCCATTCTTATAAGTATATTTCAGTATTAGTGATTCAATAAGAATTCTTTTGAACTATTCCTATTTGGGGTTCATATAACGGAATCGTTTAAAAAACAATTGTAGAAAATTGAATCTCTAATTTGAAAATAAAACGTTTTTGAAATGGTTATTAATTAAGACACAATAACACGCCGAATAAATACTAATTCAGAAGTCAAACAACAAAAATCAGCGTAATATTTGCAAAATTTTCACAGGACTAGTTTCGATGGTTTTACCGAACCACCATCTTCAGCTGCAAAACCGCAAATGAACAAGATAGGAAATAATGATTAGATAAGATAAGAAAGCCTGGACAAGAATAAGCAAGTGGCGCCATCTGTTGGCGAAACCAGAACTAAAACATAATTTCTCTAAAAGCCGAAGGCAAATTTGGATTGGAATTAGGATCGTTAACTAGAACCAGAAAGATTTTTATGAATGTGAAATGCCTCTAGAAAATCCAGTTCTCCAATGGAAGATGTTTTTTGAATAATTTTAGCAGCAGGAAAATTGAAAGTGTGATTTTCGGACCAACAATGTTAAGCAACAGAAGACTTCTGTGTTTCCTTTTTTCTAACATATGCCTCATGTTCCTTGATGCGAAATTTTAAGGCTCTCTTAGTTTGGACAATGTAAATTAAACCACACCGGCAAGGAATCCTATAAATACCCCAGGAATTCATATCCGGAATGGGGTCTTTGAGTATAGAAATCCGAATTTTATTGATGGGAGAATAAACAACCCGAAAGTTAAATTTCTGCAAAATATGTGCAACTTTATAGCTAAATGATGGAAAGAAGGGAATGACAACAGAATTTTTATAATCTCCTAAAATAAACACTCTTATACTCTTTAATAAGAGTATAAGAGTTAATACTCTTATAATATACACTTTTACTATTATTATACACTTAATACTCTTTAATAATATACACTTTTACTCTTTAATAAGAGTGTGGCTTTAGCCACACTCTTATTAAATAAGAGTGTGGCTAAAGCCACACTCTTATTTTAGGAGATTATAAAAATTCTGTTGTCATTCCCTTCTTTCCATCAATTAGCTATAAAGTTGCACATATTTTGCAGAAATTTAACTTTCGGGTTGTTTATTCTCCCATCAATAAAATTCGGACTTCTATACTCAAAGACCCCATTCCGGATATGAATTCCTGGGGTATTTATAGGATTCCTTGCCAGTGTGGTTTAATTTACATTGGCCAAACTAAGAGAGCCTTAAAATTTCGCATCAAGGAACATGAGGCATATGTTAGAAAAAAGGAAACACAGAAGTCTTCTGTTGCTCAACATTGTTGGTCCGAAAATCACACTTTCAATTTTTCTGCTGCTAAAATTATTCAAAAAACATCTTCCATTGGAGAACTGGATTTTCTAGAGGCATTTCACATTCATAAAAATCTTTCTGTTCTAGTTAACGATCCTAATTCCAATCCAAATAAACCTTCGGCTTTTAGAGAAATTATGTTTTAGTTCTGGTTTCGCCAACAGATGGCGCCACTTGCTTATTCTTATCCAGGCTTTCTTATCTTATCTAATCATTATTTCCTATCTTGTTCATTTGCGGTTTTGCAGCTGAAGATGGTGGTTCGGTAAAACCATCGAAACTAGTCCTGTGAAAATTTTGCAAATATTACGCTGATTTTTGTTGTTTGACTTCTGAATTGGTTATTAATGTAATATGGTTAATTTTGGTATAGGTTTCCTCTCGACAGTATTTTCATATATTTAAACCAATAAATTGTTTTCTTCCATCCAGCAAATCTGTTTTAACTACTGCCTTTTGTACGTTTGTTATTCCTATTTGAATAAATGTTCATATGTGATTCGTTAAAAAGTTATATATTATATATAGCATGTTTTTGTGATACTTTGGAGATTTTAATTTTCACTGCCATTGAAGGCCTTAGGTACACAGTAAAAATAATTATAAAGAAAATATGACTCGTGACAAAGAGAAATCTCTCTAGAATTTGCATAACTTCTGAAACATGTTAATAAAATGTTGTGATATGCTATTTTTATCCCCCTACATCATTGAGCATATTTAATATTTATGAAATTCTTCTATTTGTTTATAGGTAAGAGAAAATATTTAATTGATACATTTGTAAGATGACATTTAATTCTTTGTTTTCAGTGTATTTTTTTAATAAGACATAGCAAAAATCCTACTTATAGATTTATTTTTATTTTAAATCAAGAAAAAACATTTCGTTTCCTTCATGCGTGAAACACAGACTGAATTATGGAAATATTGTCTTTTTTGAAGTCTTTCGATTTTAAGCACGTATACTGAAAAACTAGCTACTTCTTTC